AAGAACTCAGATTGGTGGTGGATATATGGTTGTGGTATATGGCAGCGGTGGTGGTATATGGTAGCGGTGGTGGTATATGGATACAGATTGGTGGTGGTATATGGATACGGATTGGTGGTGGTATATGGATATGGATTTAGAGCGGTGGCGGATAAGCAAAAGTGGTAGACGGGCGATGATGATGGTGCGGCGGCGGCGTGACAACTTATGACCAGAACTCGAAACTCTAAAGGACTAGACTCTAAGACCAGTAACTTGACACGACGATGCAACCGCAAATTCAACAAAGCAAAAACCCTAAAAAGATTATGCAAAGGCTCAGATTGGTTCGGATATGATGAACTAACCCTAAAAAATTTTTTGTGGCTTTTTCGTGGACTGTAGGTATGAAGAACAGACTCGATCTAATCTACGAAAAACTGTAAAATCTCACCGAGCAACCTGGAAATCTGATACCACTTGATAGAGGCGAGGGTCCCGATGTTTCGATGAGATGGTGGCTATCGTTTTCTGTGGGAGTCGACTTTGACGATCCGACTACGATCGTGCGAGACGTCGCGCCTTAGCAATCGCTAAACCAACTTCCGAGGGTTATTGACCACGCCGGAGCACGATCAACCTGACCACGAGGGTCTGTTTCCTGCGAGCAAACGAAGAACAAGCAAGAAACTGAGATTGCAATCTGGATATTGCGAATATAAGATGAAAGCTTTATTGATCAAGGTGGGGTTCTGTGACGTCTTGGTCTAGTCGTTGGACACAAACGAAGTACGCGAAGTTGCAGCTATGGCGAACTTTTGATCTAAACAAAACCCAAAGTCTAAATGACGCCCTAAGGGCTGTATATATGGAGGAAGAGGGGGGAATTTCGTGGCCCTTGAGGTTGGGGTCTGAAACCAACCCTAACTCTTGTTTCCCCACACATACGGACTCTAAAAATAGCCTATACTTAAGTATTTCGAAATTACATGAGCCTGGCCCATTAATAAGGTGACGCAACACCTAGAATAGCCTATGGACGAATATTATGAAGTGGCATCTTGTATATTTCGTCCAAGGCTTCATGCACTCCTTATGGCGGCTTTAAAGTCCTGAAATCATCACTTGTAACTCCGTTCTTGATCCCCTTGTGCATGCCATCAACTCCATGTGTGTTCTTGCTCCAATGTTCATCCTTCTCCAAGCTAGGCCCTTCATTTGTAAGCAAAACAAATGTATCCAATTTAGGCAGCATCATAATCTCATGAATATTAGAATCATTACCAAGAAACGAAAGTACCTGGTAATTTAATTGGCGTGCGCGAGCTCTAGTAATTGGTCCAGTATATGTAACAGTAGGGGCCGTGGGTGTAACAATGGTATTGATGTCCTCATCAGAAGCGGAGTACATGGCAGCCTCGGAGGCAGCGCATGAAGCAGTTTGGGTGAAGGAGTTCATCACCGACCTAGGAGTCATACCCAATGCGTCGGGGCCGATCAAACTCTTCTGTGACAACACTGGAGCTATTGCACTTGCCAAGGAGCCCAGGTTTCACAAGAAGACCAGACACATCAAGCGTCGCTTCAACTCCATTTGTGAAAATGTTCAAGGTGGAGACATAGATATTTGTAAAGTACATACGGATCTGAATGTCGCGGATCCGTTGACTAAACCTCTCCCTAGGGCAAAACATGATCAACACCAGAACTCTATGGGTGTTCGATTCATCTAGATTATTGACTCTAGTGCAAGTGGGAGACTGTTGGAAATATGCCCTAGAGGCAATAATAAAAGGATTATTATTATATTTCCTTGTTCATGATAATTGTCTTTTATTCATGCTATAATTGTGTTATCCGGAAATCGTAATACATGTGTGAATACATAGATCACAATGTGTCCCTAGTGAGCCTCTAGTTGACTAGCTCGTTGATCAAAAGATAGTCATGGTTTCCTGACTATGGACATCGGATGTCATTGATAACGAGATCACATCATTAGGAAAATGATGTGATGGACAAGACCCAATCCTAAACATAGCACAAGATCGTATAGTTCGTTTGCTAGAGTTTTTCCAATGTCAAGTATCTTTTCCTTAGACCATGAGATCGTGTAACTCCCGGATACCGTAGGAGTGCTTTGGGTGTACCAAATGTCACAACATAACTGGGTGACTATAAAGGTATACTACGGGTATCTCCGAAAGTGTCTGTTGGGTTGACACGGATCAAGACTGGGATTTGTCACTCCATATGACGGAGAGGTATCTCTGGGCCCACTCGGTAATGCATCATCATAATGAGCTCAAAGTGACCAAGTGTCTGGTCATGGGATCATGCATTACGGTACGAGTAAAGTGACTTGCCGGTAACGAGATTGAACGAGGTATTGGGATACCGACGATCGAATCTCGGGCAAGTAACGTACCGATTGACAAAGGGAATTGTATACGGGGTTGCTTGAATCCTCGACATCATGGTTCATCCGATGAGATCATCGAGGAGCATGTGGGAGCCAACATGGGTATCCAGATCCCGCTGTTGGTTATTGACCGGAGAGTCGTCTCGGTCATGTCTACATGTATCCCGAACCCGTAGGGTCTACACACTTAAGGTTCGGTGACGCTAGGGTTGTAGAGATACGAGTATGCAGTAACCCGAAAGTTGTTCGGAGTCCCGGATGAGATCCCGGACGTCACGAGGAGTTCCGGAATGGTCCGGAGGTGAAGAATTATATATAGGAAGTGCAGTTTCGGCCATCGAGAGAGTTTCTGGGGTCAACGGTATTGTACCGGGACCACCGGAAGGGTTCCGGGGGTCCACCGGGTGGGGCCACCCATCCCGGAGGGCCCCATGGGCTGAAGTGGGGAGGGAACCAGCCCATAGTGGGTTGATGCGCCCCCCTTGGGCCCTCCATGCGCCTAGGGTTGGGAACCCTAGGGGAGGGGGCGCCTCCACTTGCCTTGGGGGGCACTCCACCCCCTTGGCCGCCGCCCCCCAGGAGATCCCATCTCCTAGGGCCGGCGCACCCCCCTAGGGGGCCTATATAAAGTGGGGGAAGGGAGGGCAGCCACACCCTGAAGTCTTGGCGCCTCCCTCTCCCCTGCTACACCTCTTCCTCTCGCAGAAGCTCGGCGAAGCCCTGCTGCGGTGACTGCTGCATTCATCACCACGCCGTCGTGCTGCTGGATCTTCATTAACCTCTCCTTTCCCCTTGCTGGATCAAGAAGGAGAAAACGTCACGCTGACCGTACGTGTGTTGAACGCAGAGGTGCCGTCCGTTTGGCGCTAGGATCTCCGGTGATTTGGATCACGACAAGTACGACTCCCTCATCCCCGTTCTTTGAACGCTTCCGCTCGCGATCTACAAAGGTATGTAGATGCATCCGATCACTCGTTGCTAGATGAACTCATAGATGGATCTTGGTGAAAACGTAGAAACAAAATTTGTTTTCTGCAACATTCCCCAACACTATGTCCTTCGGTGTCTCTTTTATCTCTTTTCGTGTGCGCAGTGGTAGAGGCAGGGGTGCTAGCAGGGGCCCGGCCCAGGTCAACATGCAGATTTTGCCACTATACGAGGGATTATCCGCTGCTAATATTGTGTATTTATGATGATTTTGCTGGTTTTGGCCCTCCCCGACATTATTTAACATCAGTTGGCTGGCTCCGCCACTGTCTGCATCATTGCATAGATCATATTGATCTGCGTAACTGTAACAACCCACTGATGCCGATGTATACATATGGCTAGACGCATATGAGCTAGGCTTATTGCACGACGAACAACCTAGACAATATACAAGAAGCAATAAAAATAGCTAGCACTACGTACGATTCGAGAAAATAAAGAAAATATCTGGTACAATTGCATGCTTTTCTGGCAACAACTAATCAAGCGATTCCTTTTGGATGGGACTCTTGACACGGGGAATTCTCTTCCTGAATCTTCCTTGGCACAGTTATGCCCCGATATGATAGACAGAATTTGGTGGCTTCAGGCTAACACCTCGTTCGCTGTCTTGCACGCATGCCAGTTTGCTGAGGCAGCCCTGGAGAACAATTGGATGAAAACAAAGCTGAAATGATTAATTGATTGGTGCAACCCTCGTGGCTGACAAAATGCTATCCTAGACAACATAGTGTAGTCTTAACGTATTAAGATTTATCTCCACACATGAGCAATCAATCTCTGAATCAGACACGACACCTAACTAAATCACACCAGCTGTTACAAAATCATCTTGGTCAAAATAATCAAAGATATCTCGCCCTTCTTAAATGAAGAGTCTTCGGGTTAGCTGGGACAAGATAATGCAAGCTTACCAGTACTTATGCGACCTGGACAATCATGGGACCCGTTGGGACATCCAGCAGCGTGCCGTTGCCGTTCGCGTGATCTGTCAAACAAGAGAATATATTCTCAAAGTGGAACCGAAACAAGAAGTGGACTGCACAACAATCGCAAATAAACAGATCTTGATTTGTTACTGTCGTCAAGGAAACGTACGTGCTGGTTGTCTCGTAACAAAGAAGCAAGCGCCGATAACAATGTAGCATAGGAGGAGGAGGACTCCCTTGAGGTAATGTGACGTTCCATCCTTCGAATCAAAATCACTGGATTAATTAGGACCGTTTTTTTTTTGTATTTTCTGGCAGCAAGACAGCAAGATCGCAACCAAATCACAACATGTAGTTAGGAAATCCCTTTTGTCTCAATTGGAAATCGACTTCCTTTCTTTAGTTTATGTGGTTAAAATTCCCTCACCGACGAATGTTTGTCTGAATGATGACTGAATGATGATTTTTACCTGGAGGGTGAAGGCCGTCACTAGCACCGAGATGAAGAGAGAGCCAGTCTCTAGCAGCTTGAAGTCGAGATCCATCTGAATCCCCATGATCCAAGCGACAAGGACACTCAATGGCACCTACCAACACAGTGCAGATTCATCATGCATGATTTGGCTGGTTGAAGCGAAGGAGACAATCAAGGGAAGGGAGTTAATGTACCCACCACGAACATGGAGATCTGGGTAGCCGACCCCAAGGCAACACCGAGGGTGATGTCCAGCTTGTTCTTCAGGGCGAAGATCACGGCTCCGGCGTGCTCCGCCGCGTTACCAACGATGGGGAGCAGGATGATGCTGATGAAGCTCACCGAGAGACCCCACGACTGCGAGGTCGGCTCGATGGTGCCGACAACGTACTCGGAGAGCACGGCGATTATGATGGTCATGAGGATGAGCCAGAAGAGCGCGCTCCCAAAGCCGAGGACCGCCTCTTCCTCATCATCATCGCCGCCCTCAATCTCCTGCGGCTCGAAGAGCTGGCGATGCGTCTTGAGCTGGAAGAAGAGGTAGGCGACGTAGGCGAGGAGCATGATGAAACTGCAGGCCCTTGAGAGCTCCAGCACCGTGGTGTCAGTGGCGACAGCATGCTCCCCGGAGCTGACGGCGTAACGCAGCAGCAGCGGCAGAGACTGGCACAGCACGCCCAGGGTGAGCAGACCCGTGCTCACGTCCGCTTGTTTCTGCATGCGCATACGTAGTCGTGGGTGAAGCTAGTCAGTCTAAAATTAGGCGTTGCAACTTGCAATCTGGTGCTGAGATTGAGAAATGCATGCATGCTCTAATATAATATAATGGAGCCGGGTACGTACCCGGTCGTAGGGCTGGTCGGCCCCGAGGTTCTTGATGCCGCCACAGAAGAGCGAGGTGCCAAGGACGAGAAGCAGGTTGGAGAGCACGGAGCCGAGCAGCGAGCATTTCACCACCTCGATCTTCCCTTGCACCAGCGCGAACACGGCGATGATGAGCTCCGTTGCGTTGCCGCACGTCGCGTTCAGGAGCCCGCCAACTGCAAACCACAAGTCGAGTAATTAACAACACATAGATGTTTCCGGCCGGCGAGACAGAAATATACTGCGTAGTAGTAGAATATACGTAGTTTGGGGTGGATCCGCGTTACTTACTAGTGGGGCCAGTGTAGAGCGCAATCTGCCTACAAGAATTACCACACCAGAAAATGAAAAGGTTTCACGTTAAAGCATTTCCAGAACTGACACAGAGCTACAGTTAAAGCATCCCGTAAAAGGGAATTTGGGTAGCAAGAGGAGCAAATGCTTACTCTGTGAGGAAGCTGACCCGCTCAGCCAGAGGAATGAGGCCGATTAGACTAAGCGCGAACACCCATACCTGCCGATTCAGATCCACTTTAAATTCCACTTTGCCAGAAATAGAAATAAAATTATAACACATCAACACTTGCTGGCTACTTACGACAATATGCACAAGTTTTAGATTTTGTGTTAGCACCAAAATTGAGACTAAATTGCGGGAGCATTTCACAAATTAGTGTGCCTTGCACTCTTGACTTTGGCTTCCAGCCATAGTCTTCTTCAATATACAAGGGCACATGTTCATGTGTACTAGCATCAGATTATCCACGTCAAGCTCGTGAGGCTATACTCCACCGGGCTGATCACAAATGCCAACTCGTGAACACCCAAGAGCAAGCAGGGATGTTTCCGTCATCGTCTTTAGCCACTGTGCCCGCACGACTTTTGTCGTCTACTCTTGTCTTGGCGGTGCACATTTGGCTGTTAGTCGCAGCAAGGTTTACGAGATGGCACTCCCTCCGTGAAGTACACCATCTTTCTAGAGTACTCCAGGGCGTGCAGCCCTACGTTTTGGTAAAACTGCCATGGCCCAACGCTAGAGACGAGGAGTGAGGTGAAACTTCTCTCCCGTGATCGATTGGCAGATGGTGCGTGCTCCAAACCAGTGCCCGCAACCTTCAAATATGGCGGCTCACGGGTATGATATGAAGCGCCGTTCATAAATTATGGCGACTTGAGGCCGTAGAGCGATTCTATTAAAGTGCCATTTTGACGCAAAATCATAATATTAACGGTTATTATGACGATTAGACTAATATAAACGATCACCACTACTAATTAACGAGCAAGACACAATCTCATTGTCATTGATTCAATAGATGATCTCACATGCGTATAATCGTTAATCAAGATTTAGAAACGCAGTCGACTTGATCAGTGCCTTGTTTTTACAACCTGACGACCGATGGTTTTGGCCACGGAGAGCATATGTAGAGGTTGTCACCACTCACCAAGAGGGCACACCATTTAAAACTCGAATTTGTTTGCCACTTTGTACATCCGTCGCACATAAATGTGGACAGATGAGTTCCAGGGAAAGTAGTACAGCTCTCGTGCGTGCCAGTTTGTGTGCAGTGCCCCATGTGTCCGTAACATGACGTGGCCAATTGAGGTATACTGATAGAGGACAGCGCGCAAGGTTCAATTGTGATTAAGCATCCGCAGAGAGGCAGTGTTGGATAGTAGTGATCTCAATCTGGCACCTGATCACCAGTGTTTGGAAGCGAAAGAGAAAAGCAATGGAATAAATCCAAGGGGATGGTCAAACCGAACCGAGGATCATGAATAGTAGCATGCATGTAGGAACAAAAAGAAAAAAAAACAGTGTATATATGATGAATTTACCTGGCCGAAGCGGAAACACTGCGCGGCGACGGCGAGCGGCACCGCGATGAAGAGGACGGCGAGCTTGGTGCCGAGGAGGACCTCCTGGAGATTGGCGAGCACGGGGCGCAGCGAGGCCACGGGGACCTTGCGCACCAGCGTGGCGTCCGACTTCTTCCGCAGCGACGAGGAAGACATGCCGTGCGCCGTCCGGGCGAGGCCGCTGTGGCCGTGCGCGTGGCCGCCGTGCCGCGAGGGAAGCCGCCCGGACTCCTTCCTCGTGGGCGCGCCGGCCTCCATCGTCACCGCGGACTGGCTATCCATGGTCAGGTTAGATCGATCGATCTGGACTCTGACTCTACCTGTGCTGCTAGTGCGGCGCCACGACGAGAGCTGTCTCTGCCTATTCGGCGCGCTTACGAACCTCGTGCTGTATTCTGTGCGAGACACCAAGAGGAGGTGGAGCACATATTTATGTGGGAGGAAGAAGGGTGGGCATAAGAGCAATTATTCCCGGAGGAATGAATTATTGACCCATCCCTCCATGTTACAGCCAGCGTCCAGCTCCAGCATCACAATGATAAGATCTCCTTGATGATCTTGAGAGAAAAATATGTGTGCATATATATCGAGATAGTGAGACTGGTAGATAGAGATTAGAGATCGTTTTTCCGAAGTAAGACGACGAAGAAGAAAAAGGATTGTAATATGGTTTAAATGGATGGGATCGACGTGTGTAGATGGATCTAAGAAGGGAAAGGGAAAGGGGATTTTGATTTCCCTTAACCGGCTTCAATGCGACGATGCCTCTACATACGGTGGAGTTTTGAGCAGTTATGATTCGCGGGAGGGGGGTACACCAGGGAAGCTTCCGCGAAGCTTCCCAAGCCTGCGTTGCCCTGCCGTCGTACGCTACGCCACGTCTGAATGCCTGGTTCGTGTCCGGTTGCACGTTGGCTATTTCGACCGGGGGGTATCGGCCAGATGCCAACATGGCGTTTCCCCGCTGGGCCGAGCGCAGAGGTGAGGACGGATCATATTTATGAGCATGATGCATCATCATTCACATGGCCATATGGGTATCGAATTTGGATTGACTGACCACGATGGCTTTGCCTGGCTACACTCAAAAAACAATGACTGCGATGGCTCGCTGCCCCGGCAAATCTTCTCACCGCTTTCTGACCGTACGGACGCGGTGTTTACGCGCTGCGATGGATTTTTTTCTTTCAGACTAATAATAATGTATGTGCAATGCACGTTTATATTAGGTATTATATTAGTTGCACGTTATATTAGGTAAAATATACCTGTTGCAAGTTGGTATTTGGTAAGATATCATTACTTTTTTCACGAAAATGATAAAATATTAATTACATGGCAGATTTCATGGGATAGCGTTGAGTCAAAACGTGTTTATAATCAATAGCAGTGATGGGTATTAAAGCGTTAAACCTGTTTGGTGCTCAACATTGAAGCGATTGGAACCGTTAAATAATATGATTTGACGGTCGAGATGATTTGAATCTGCCCCTTCGGGTCTTTTTATATTGGTATAGATGATAAATCCCAAACATTCGAGTTTTAAGCACGGCAACCAGAACGTCTTATATACCAATTTTAGTTTACACAAGGTTGAAAAACATGACAACTTTTTAATAAAAAATGAACTTGGACAAAGTTGCCATGTATTAACAACTAAAGTTGTCACCTCGAGTCAACTAAAATTGCCATGAAAAATTATTCGGGATGATATGCTTAAAATCCGAACGTTCGGGATTTATTGAGGTCTTTTCTTTTCTTGATTTGACAGAAAAGGTGGGAGCATTGCCCATTTTCTTTTTTATTTGAAAACTTCCCATCGTATTCTTTTTCAATCATTGCAAGAGAACAATTTTTTTTTTCGAAAGTACACCGAGTGTACCTTAGCTTTATAGAAGAAGAAGCAAAATATTTACAAGAGATTACAATCAGCGGTCACCCACACAAGTGTCCACTCTCCCACACTCCTAAGTTATTACGTGATTACTCGCAAAAATGTAACACTCCGCTCCTACTTGCCAGCACGTGCTCTTTGAAGATGATCTCAATTGTGCCTAACTCGTTCCTGACGTCGCTCCTGCCGAACACTCTACCATTCCTTTGCTTCCAACACCAGCATATGAGAATCATAAAGGAGTCAAAGTCCTTGCGCATTGGTTTAGGGATTGCGTTCCGGGCCGTCATCCACGAACCTTGCACTGAGTCATTGCCCGCCGGCAGTAGTGCTTGGTTGATGCCGGTCTTGGCGAAGCAGATGTACCACACCTGCCTGGCAAACACGCACTGCAAGACAATGTGGTTCATCGTGTCCTCTTCCTGCTCACAGAGGAAGCAAGGCGATGTCATGTCTTGCAGACCGTGTCTGGCTCTCTTGTCGGACATCCATAGTCTGTATTGCAACACTAACCACATGAATATTTGGCAGGTCAGGGGTGCTTTGCAATTCCATATCGCTGTGGCCGGTTGGAATTTGATTCCTCCTTCACACATCATCCTGTAAGCCGAGGCGGCCGAGTAGGTGCCCGAGGTGTTCCAAACCCAGATCGGCTTATCATCCACTCCCTGAGTAAGTTGGATGCCAATCAATGCCTCCCATAGCCTGATGAATTGGGCCAACTCCTCATTTTCCAATTCTCCGATGACTTCATTCATCCAGTCGTGAAGGTATAGTCCATCCTTCACCGTGCGCCTGTTAACCTGCCAGGTTCTGACCTTGGCCACAAGGAGCGGTGCCATTTCCTGAACACGGGAGCCACCAATCTGTCTTTCTAGAATAAAGTTTTTGAGCCGTCTCTTATGTGTCAAGTCACCAAGCTG